TTCAGATCATTCACTCACTTTTTTGCCAAAATTATTCATTTTTGTATTTGTAAAAGATAGACGATAAATAAAAACCGTTTATATACTTTCATCTCCAATCGTGCTATTAATAATTATAATAATAATAAAGAATGGTTCTTCTTAAGGTGTTCAAATGTTCCTTGCCTAAGCATTTTGACATCAACTGAATTCCTGCAAATATGTTTTAAAATACTAATGGGAATCAAATGAAGTAAATAACCCTACATTACAATGTAATTGTATTTTGACTTCTCGTTGCACATATTTCCTTGCAATCATATAATACTAATCGGCAACATAGCTAATTTAGAGTCAATTGACATAAGATATTGGAAAACTATTGTCTGGATTTTTAATTAGAGATACGATGGCATTCTATTAAAGTCTCTTGTAATTATCTGATGGATTTAAATACTGCGACATAAATAATCAAAGCACAGAAGGCGCTGAATTTGTTTGGGTCTCAGAATGTAAGAAAGGTGCAGGTTGTGAGATTATATGTATAGTGCCACCAATGCTTTCCAGCGTTTTAATTGTAGTAAATTGGCTATAAGACTAATTGCAACACTGATATTCAATCCAATGTTTATTTGACTTTAACAATTTGAAAAAAAAAATGAGTTACCTTTACTGGGATTTGAACTCCAGACCTCTCGCTTCCTAAGCGAGCTCGAAAACCCTTCAGCCACGGTGAATTTATATGTGAATGGGCTGAAGAAAACCATATTATTCTAAATTAGGGCTTGTAACGACTTTAACTGTTGTTTAACACAGATGTAAATAATCCTGGAGCTTACTATAAGCATTTATATTTATAAAGAATCAAAGGGCTGCAAGTTCTGTGGTATTTTCTGATCTTTGCAATCTAAATCGTACTGTATATCTGTATGCATTTTCCTGTATAGGTTTATTTTTATGTATTATAATTCATTTTGCAAGGCACCAGAGTTTGATACATACGGAATTCTGCATAACTAGAGTTGCATCAAAAAATCATTTATGTTCATTTTTTACGACAGCCACACTTTATCCTTGCATATCATGGCTACTTCCTTAACAAAAACACTTAAAAAAGAATTTAACAAAAAAAAAGTTTCCTCGACTGGGATTCGAACTCGAGACCTCTCACTCACTAAGCGAGCGCGTTACCACTGTACCACGGAGAAGTTATACACAGAAATTCTGAATAATATCAAGTCATTCTAAATTTAGAACTTCCATTGCATTTCGGGTTTGTAATCCTTATTAATATTTCGAGGTATTTTGTTCAGGGTAAACCTGTTGTTTATAATTGAAGTAAATATTTTAGCGAAAATCATCTCGCCCAAACAGTCCGACATGTAGAATCTATATATTCCACTACTCGGTTTGTGTAGTATTCGGTAATAAATAGTATTTTCATTGATAAAATCATATTCATCCGCGTAATTTGTGATTGTGCATTTATTGACAATTCTATAAGCCAACGCTATTGTTTAACTTTAAATGTGTTGTAATTTGTTGGATACTTGAAACAAAATAAAATATTTCTTTCTTTTAAATCGCTAGTTTTAAGCTGTTTTGAGAACTACTTGTTGTTAGGTTTGTCGTAAACTTCTGTGTCAGAGATTGAATGTCCGCTTTTTATTTAGTTATTTTCGATCAGAAAATACAATTAAACAATATTAGAAATTTTCGACCATTCGGGAATTACTTTGCTTGAAAATTGATGCGCCTGTCTTTGACCATCTTTACGCAGTGATCTCCCCTGAATTTTTCGGCTTTAGTGTACATACAAAAGGGAAGTAACCGCTTCAAAAAAGTGGACTACTTTCGGCATTTGCAATTAACAACATTAGACTCTGAAATTTCGCTACCATTATTTGTTTGGTCTGACGACCCAAACAAATAAAAACTCTTTAAGAGCGATTTACTTGATGGGGAAATTTTGAATTATCCTATTTTCATGGTGGAGCCAAGAAACCTTTTTATCATCAATCAAAGATCACTACTGCTTGACTTTAACGGTGTTATCTACAGCAACATAATTATGGAGAAAAAATGGGATTAGGTCAATTGTTAATGATTTTGATGCAAAGTATAATGTGGCAAACCAAGAGCGTAGCATATACAGCTTCTGTAATGAAACCTGGCAATTTCAAAAGGCAAAGCACGAAAGTGAACATATTTTCTGGTATTTTGCAAAGCAAAATATTAAATTTGTTTTATAACTGTTTTACGTAATATATTTATAGTTTGTTGTTATAATGTTGACAAAGATTAATTGAATAAACAAATGGATAACATTTTCATAAAATGAAAATATCAAATTCCCGATATCTTCAAACGGTCTCGACGACAAATTATATTTTTCGGTCAATATTTACTAGGTATATATAACAAATGTATCTAAGTAAGAAATAATAAGGGGGCCTCCGTGGCCGAGTGGTTAAAGTCGCTGACTTGAGATCACAGGTCCCTCACCACTGTAGGTTCGATCCTCACTCGGGTCGAAATCTTTCAAGTGATGAAGCCATCCAGCTGGCTTACGGAAGGTCGGTGGTTCTACCCAGGTGCCCGTTCGTGCCTGAAATAATGCCCGGAGGGGCACCTGGGGTCTTCCTCCACCAATAAAGCTGGAAAAAAATCGACGAAAAATCTCGGCGGGACGCTCTAGGATGACCCGACTTGAGTGTACGGTCGCCCATATGGGCTTTCCGGCGGCGACCTTAAATAAACGCATTAAAAAAAAAAAAAAAAAAAAAAAAGAAATAATATATCCCAAACAGTGATTTTATCGCTCAATAACATTACTGTTTGGAGTTCGGATGCAAGGAACTATATCACGAGGGCGTAGTCCGAGTGATATAATGATGCGCATTCGAACGACAAACAGTGATGTTATCAAGCGATAAAATCACAGATTTGGATATAGTATTTCGATTCTAACACGACATCAACAATAAATGTTTCCGTACCTGATAACAAGCTAAATTGTATCTGATTTGTTTCCGTACTTATTTTCAACGCGTCGCATTTTTGTAGGTTACGTCACAAGTCTAAATATAGACATCAACAGTGATTTTGTTGCATAATGACACACACTTTCGGTTCTTCTATGTTCAATAGGGAAAAATGCGGGTCGTGTTACAATTTATAATTTTATCCCAAGACATGTTATAAAAATGTTTATGTTTACGTCAATTCTGATAAAAGATAATAAATTGATAATACGAGTTATGTTAATAAACAGGGATGTCAACATGAGGTTGCCAATTATAATTATTTTCATTTGATCTAATCCAATGATGCCTGGTGACTTGACATTTATAAAATGACTGACAAATATCTCATTAAAGGTAAACCACACTACATTGAAAGTTATCAATCTTCATCTAGTCTCCAAGTAATTCATTATCAACTCATATAGAGATGCTTGTGTCTTTTATTGATTTTACACAAGGTTTACGTGATTCTCTTCTAATCATATTATAGATTGTAAGGGATCTTTAAGAAGATCGTATTGGTGTTATAATGAAGTTGCATTGTCATATAAATGTCTGCTTTGACAGAGCTAACGTGATCTGTAGCGAAGAAAAAGTTATAGAGTTGATTAAATGAATTGTCAATGGACTTGGCAATTAGTTGTGTCCTGATTTAGACTGCTAGTAAAATTGTACCACACTATGATCATCTGATAATATTCAATCTGGCAGATATATCCTGGTGATCTACATTAAATGTGTTCTTATATACTTATCAGAATGGTTTGAAGAATTAAACCTTTCAAGACTAGTGTTTATAAACTAGAATGTTTCGTCTATAGTTTAATAAATGCATTAAATCTAAAAAAACCTGGAATTTTGAAAATGATTTAATGGTTTAATCTACGATAGTAATGAAGTTTTAAACTTGCATGTTGTTTTATTTTTATCTTTTGACGTTATTTGTGATACGCAAGCATTGTAATTACTCATCCTTTTTTGAAATTTCGATTTTTTAGTTATTTCGTATGGGACACATATATTCTTTTGCTTAGGGTAAAGCATTGTTTTTCTTAGAATGACATAAACGAGTAGCATGGTCATTGCCATAAAAGGACATCTGCATATGTTTCTAAGTAAATTATTTTAATAACTTATAAATGTCATTCTGTTTAGGCAAATTTATTAATCTCTCACGGACATATTCTTAAAACATTAACCGAAATAACAGTTAACATAATGTAATAACTTTACAGCATTTCAAGTTTAGTCTAAGAATTCAAGAAGAGAAATAACGAGTTGTATTTCATACTCATAACATTTTCATTTTTATTGTTACATTATTACATACATGGACACGCAGCCAATGAAATTCAGATAAAAACCGGTAACAAGTAATTAAACTTAATCATTACAATTGAAATAGGAACTTTGTAAGCATAACACTATTGTAACTATGTAATAAAAATTATGGATCTTGTCTGCTATTTTTATTTCTTAAGTCTGAATAGGTATTTGCACAAGTACGCATATCATTTTCATTTTCTACTTTTTCAGTTTTCCACCTACCAAGTACAAAGTTTTAGTGATGCATCTAACATAATACGGTAAAATAATTATGATAATTTATATATGTTTGACAAATTCGTTTGTTGTATGTCAAATAGATATTGGAAATGTATGTTGACGTTTTGCAAGCTTAACTGACAAGCATGCATCTGATATCCATCCCTACAGTCCGTAAGCAAGTTGACTAGTATTATAATAGCTTAATTAAAAAATTGTATTACAGAACATTTTTAAATCAATCTTATAAAATCTACTGAAATAAAATTAACTTTCGAAAGAAACTCGATAGAGAAACAACTGTTTTAAAAGACGATATTTGCGTTCAACTAAAAATAGAAAACATAATATACGATCCATCACAATGTCTCATTGAAAGCTTTCAATTATCTCAAGACAAATAAAACCCATTGTCTTAGTTTTAATTACAAGTATTAAATCCTCCTTTTAAATTCACTTGTAATTGCCTATAGCTAGACAGAGATCTGATTTCCTAACTTAAATTAATACTCCAACTAGAAATAAATGTATAAAAATGCAGTGATTAAAAGGTCGACATTTGCCAACAAAATAGCTCGCTTGACTTTAATACTTTATACGGAGTGCGTTTGTACGATAGACTGACTATAATATTTATAAAAACAATAGTTTTATACTTTTTAATATTTGCATACTTTTTCTCATATTTTACAATAGTAAGCAACACAGACATTGTACAAAAATCATTTTTAAAAGCAAAACATAATTCAACATAGCACTTTTGGAAATAATACACAAACGTTGTTCAAGGGAAGGCAAAATGTAGTTTTAAGTCACTTTGGACACTGAGCAAAACTTACTGCTTTGCAATAGCAAGAACCACTGCCATGAATGAAAAACCTACAAAAGTGCACGAAACTTTCTTCACGTCCTTGTTTCCATCTAATTCTTTATACAAAATATTGAGAAAAATTATATAAAAAATAGTTCCGGTAGCAAGGCTTTGTAATATGGCATTTGGCACGTCAACGTCTGTGTATAATTGCGCGCCAGTTGATATAGCTATTCCAATTATCACCCCGACGGCGCATATGATTGAGAAGGCGCTAATTGTAAATACAATAGTCGATGGTTTGTCAAAATTCCTGGCATACTGTAAACTAAGACCAAATGAAAGAATTCCCCGATGAATACCAATGGCAACACACATAACCCATACATCACTTTCTTGTGCCTGTAAACCAAGCGCCATTCCTTCAAATACTCCGTGGAATGAAAGTGCAGTTAATAAGAGCACCGAGCGGACTTGCCCTCTTCCTTCCTCGCCTTTACTTATTTCAGTCACCACTGTTTTTACTTCTAAGTCTTGAAGTGGTGCAGGTTCTATTTCCATATCAAATCTACTATCACGTCGAGCGTTTGTATTTGTATGGTTCATTATGATATTGTTTGGATTATTTGGATTAATATGATTTAGGTGTTCCTCAAGTGTATTTGTCTGAGCATCAGTTGGAATGTTTCCTTCACTTTGACTTTGCTGTGAAATGGACGAACGTAAACTTTTACATTCAAGTAATTCGCAACCATTGTATTCTGGGTCCTCGGTTGTTGGTATATAATCCTGATCGAGACTGTAGCTGTCTTGGTCAAATGAAGGAAAGCACGTATCCTCTTGTAACTTATAATACAAATATCGTATAACATGTTCACAAAACACAACCGCAAAAAATCCTGCCATAGTTAACAACTCAGCGACGGGATATTGTGACCTTGACCCTAACTGATCTAACACAGTGTCGACCTTTTTTCGCGTTTCCGGTATTAGATGAAGAAAACAAGTTCCAAGAAACACTCCTCCAGAAAAGCATTTAGCACCAGAAACCATGTTGTCAAAAAGGTTCTTCGCTCGGAACATTGTCTTACCAAAGTGTCTCACTAGTCGACATGGTAACATGCCAACAAGAACCGTTACACTTGTAACTATCACGAGCGACAAAACTTTCACGACAACGACGTCCATATCAACCTTCCGTTCCTCCTTCTCTGACATTTGAAGAGCTGTGATCTGTGGTCTTATCTGAAATACCAACCAGTAATCTTATAAGTAGTTTCAGAATGTAATGACAGTATTTTAATGGAATTATTCAACTTTTATGGGATCAATTATATGCTGAATTAATCTAAAATTACAAAACAGCTATTGTACGAACAACAATAAGAACTTTACAGGCGCACCTGCATTATTGCAATACCAGGATAATATTAATGAAATTTGATGATATATTAAATGAAGTACCAGTATCAATAGTAAAAGATGTTTTTACTCTGGATAGAATTTGCTCATTTAAGTATCATGTTTTACCGTTTTACTTCAGAAACTCACCTGCTTACTAGAATCTTTTATTGCCATAGATATAAAATGAATGTTTCTTTGCCATCTGGGTAGCTAATCATAACCGTATTGTCATTCTGTAAACATATAAAAAAATTCAATTACAACATTATACCAATAAAAAAAATGTTATTTATTACTTTATTTTATCAGAGCTCTGAAACTATCAAAAATATTGTAATAATTACAATTTTATTAGTTTATTATATTTCTTTTTTTAAAATTTTAATTCTAAAAAGATCGCGCTTCTTTGATTTTTTTCTTTAGGTCGAAAAATGGATGGGTCTTATGCCTTTTTGTCTATATTGTTAGAATTTTACTTTAACAGTGAATGTTATTGAACACTCGATTTGTCCGTACGAGTTCGAACCGGCACATACTGTTTTCCTAAAATTAGTTGAAAAAGGACGGTGATAGAGCTAGCATTTAACCGGATTTATAATTTGGCACGTTCTCCAAAAATCTAAATTTCACTATTATAATAAATATACAACGAGATTTGTGCGGTGTATAAGGATTTGAAATGTCACTCTAATAAATATATATACTAATAAATTTACACTAATTTTCCATTAGGCTACAGTGAGATAGTTTATAGATAAGGAATCGAATGGGAATGGAACAATTAGTCGGCTAATGATATTTACTTTGATCTCATTAAATGATGCATGTAGACGCTTCCAGATGACATAAACAAATTGATAACTATACTAATCCTTGAAGGTCGCCTAATGAAAGGCTGGCTGCAGTGGGGGAATATCAATCTTCATCAACGGCATCAATTTACTGGTAATTTATTATCAATTGACATAAGGACGCTAGTTTCTGTTATTGATTTTTGCACGAAGTTTACGTGGTTTATAATGAATCTCCTCTAATCATATTATAGATTGTAAGGTTGCTTTAAGAAGATCTTATTTGTGTTATAATGAAATTCCATTGTCATATAAATGTCTGCGTTTGACAAGGCTAACGTGATCTGTGATGGAGAAAAAAAGTTACCGAGTTGATGAAATGAACTGTCGAGAGGCATCTCCGTGTCTTTTTTTTTACATTGGGATATTATTTTTAATATCACGGGTCATGACCAAGATTCTAATGCTATTAAAACTGATTAAGTGGTTGAAATTGCATTTTGTGAAATAAATGAAATCGTTCCTTTTTTTAATCTTCAGATTATTTGATACATTAAATGTGTATTGTTATTGTTAATTAAGTCAGTCTTAATTTCATTCTAGATATAACTTGTATATCTTTCCCGGATTATTATTGGGCGAGGGCTGGGGGTTAGATACTTGTTAAACATTAATTATTCAATTACAAAACGCCGATATTTAAAAAAAATATTTTGATTTGAAATGTATTTGTTATTATTCTTAAATCATTGTGCGAACAATAAATAACTCAACATTTCTTAGTATTTCAATGAAACATGTTACTCGGAACAATTTATCATTCATTAAAAAAAATCTATGATAAAATATAAATGCTTGATTTATTCGTTACATAAAATGATTTCCCCTGTTGCCATTTAAATTCTTTTTGATGTTAAACAAAACATGATAAATTTCAAGATGCATGAATCATACTTAAAGGTAGGTTTGCATTTATTTTTTTTTCATGTTACGATCTAGTATGGAATAATTTTTAACTTAATATAAATTTTTTAATTGTACTACCAAAAGCTGAAATTACACGGATAAATTTTAGTTGTCGTGTCTAAGTCGAACAGAGGATTGCGAACACAGAATAACCTTATCGTTATATAGAAAAAAAAAATCAACAAATATTTTTTATATGTGTGCAAGCTGTCAATCAATAAACAAGCACTTACCTTAATATCTAAGCCAAATAATGTTGTATTTTTATAGGTCTGTTTTTTAAGCCAAATTATGTTGTACTTTTATAGGTCTGTTTTTTAATTATGCATACTTTTTGAGCAAGTACCGCTATAACTTGAAGTAGCGGGATATACGCTAACGATGATAAAAGTTTATTGTCTTATGTCTAGACGACGGGTTTTTTCCTTATGTAATACAGTCAAACCTGTCTTTAAGACATCTCTGAATAAAGACTTTATGTCAGCTTCAAACTATTACAATATCAAATATTACACACTCATTTTGCATTTTGATTGAGGCAAAATATAAAGCCATAGGACTCTTATTTATTCAAAAATAGCTTCAAATAATCTGTTAATTTCATTTTTTCTAGGCTTAAACAAATTTCTGATATTGGTGTTTGAAAATGTTGTTTTGCATATGAGGTTTTATTTTAATTAAGTAAGGTGCATGCTTTATAGATGACATGCATGTGTCTTGAATAGATGTTTCATACCTGAATAGCGATGATTATGTTTAAAGATAGCGATATAAAAAAATAGTTATATTCAATTATTTTTATTTACGCAATAGTCAAATAAAAATTGACGTCATAAAAGTGCACTGCTATTTTGAAAATAATCAGTAAATTATGTTTCGTTTTGCTAAAATAGATATAAGTACAAAAATGCACACTTATTCCAAATTTACTTTTGTTTATAAAACTAAAATTTTGAACATTTTTTCGTTTAAGCGTCAGAGGGGTGTTTTATGTCACATGACGTCAACATTCCTTAACGTAATATATTTATTGGAAAATGGATAGTTTAACTTTCTTTCGTCCAATTAACAAAAAGTGAATCTTATTCGTGCACCTTTTAACGTTTTTTTTCAGTTTTTGCCATTGCTTACTCTAAATAGTTCCATTATGAAAGGATGAATAATGCTTTGATATATCTTACTTTTCGTTTTTTGTTGTTGTTTTTTTTTTTTTTTCAGAGTTGAAAATAAAATTCCATTGCTTTATTACAATAAAGAGCGGTGTCACGCGATAATACCAGATCGTGTCAATGATGTCAAAGACCTCATTTATTATATTTATTTTATGACCAATTTTCACGCACTTACTATATACAATAATTCACCAGTCACTTCCCGGTTTACATAAGGGAATTCGAGCCTATAATAAAATAAGTCTTGCTTTGAAAATATCTATCTTTGTCCGTCAGTCAGTTTTTATCAAAGCAACATGTCACGTGTTATTTCAAACTGAGGTGAAAAAAAATTAGCGAAATGATACATATTACTGGAATTGGTGAATAAAAATTAGCGAAACGATAAATATAACCGGAATTACAATATTTCACAGATATATATTTAGATTGTTTGACCGAACACTACATAATAGAAACACGAATTTAAAGTCCAGTAGGTTGTACATTTCAAACTTTTCTAAACATTTTAAAATAAGCAAAAATGAAATTATGAGAATACGTATATACTAGTAAATGAAGACCATGAACACTACGATTCTTAATCAGACTTACTAGTTATGTTGTTGTTGTTGATGTTGTTTTTGCTTTTGTGTGTGTATGTTTATTTTGTGTTTTTTCCATCAGATGGGCACTTTAGTTATTTTAGTTTAAGAAAATAGACTGACGAATTTAGACAATTGCACAGTTCAAATCAGTCCTATTAAAAGAAAAAAAATGTTAAGGACTACCCACAAAGATTGATTAAATAAATAAAATTAGGTGCATGATTACTTAAGATCCCACATCAGACTGTCTAGTTGTTTTCATTCAGAATTTGTTCTTGATATTTAAATAGCAAATATAAAAAAATGTGATCAAATTTTATTTTTCTTTAAGAATTTGATAATATAACAAGATGTTTTTGCATTGTCTTTAACAATTCTCATTTAATACCAGGACTATTGAAAGTAGTGTCTAATAAGTACAGTTATAATAGTGATTTAGTACTTTGTTAAGTAATTCAAAATACTACTTTGTGTACATTTTGCTACTTTTATGACTAACAATTTCAAAATCCACCCCACAATTTCTTCAGGTGGAAAACATCTAACTTGCTCAAAAAACGTTATTTAATCCTTATCAACTCATGCCTACCCTTTCAAAAGAAGGTAAAAGAATTCCTGACGCATAAAGTGATTTAAAAGAATTTTCCGTCTTATATATCAGTTTAGCAATGAAACGGAATTACATTTTTATTGTATATACATGTGCATACATGTAACAGCATCGTATTAAAACAGGTGGGTGTGGCAATAAAAATCATGCAATCATTCTATTACCACAGGTCATATATTGAGATTAATTTTTCATGACATTCTGCTTCTAAGACATATATTCCCTTTTGTGTCCATTTTATTGCTACTATAAGATAATATAAATGGGGTAGTATATTACCGTCACTGAAAACAACTTTACATCAGTTCTAGTACCACTTAAATGCATTACGAAATGGAAATACAATCCCAAGTGTGTTATAAGCTTTTGTCATTTTTTCCCAACATCAGATAAAAGCGTCTTCGATATCTAGTATCACCACTTATGTTCAGGAAAATTTTCATCATAATATATATCATATACAAGGAAGAATATTAATAATTTAGTAATATAAAAAGGTTCTAAACACGATTCCATGACATTATATAAATCATACAGAGAGAAAGTATGTATATTTGAATC